TATTGATTAATATTGTATGTTGTTAGTTGACATGAGGTTATTTGGTTCAACGACTCGAACAGTCATTCGATTATCAGCGAGTTGAGGTGAGTCTTCTCTTTATTTGCATGATTCGAAGGTACCAATGTCGACCCATTACTTGTTATATGGAATGCTAGTTTTCTTTGTGATACTTGCCTGGAAGACCCCTGGGGTAGCCTGTGACGTTTGTACGGAAGATCATAGGGGTAGCCCATGGCACTTGGATGTCAGATCATGGGGCAACCCATGACATTGCAAGGAAAGACCATGGGGTTAGCCCATGTCACTTGGATGTCAAAACATTGAGGTGCCCATGGCATTTCTAGGAAAAGACCACGGGGGTAGCCCATGGTAAATGTATGTATTGTATGTGGTATTTTGGGGAACTCACTAAGCTTTGTGCTTACAGTTTTATGGTTATGTTGTCAGGTACTTCCAGTTCGAAAGAGAAGACCCGACTTGCTCGCAGTGCATCTAGTCATGTTTCCGTCTTATGATGATTTTGGAATTATACTCTGATAATTGCTTTCTTATGAAATACTCACTCCGTCCCAAAATTATAGTCCATATTTCATTTTTGATTTGTTTCAAAATAATAGTCAACTTTTAAAAATAAATAACATTTTTACCAAAGTATCTCCCTATTATTACTTAACAAATTAAGCATTTAAGGTAACATTAAATGCAAATTAAGGATAAAACTTTCATTTTATTGTATAAAGTTAATTGTAATTAATACTTCCTTACAATCTGTGGATAATAATTTTGTGATGGAGTGAGTACTTTTGAATAATTATAAAAAGGATAATGGATGTTTGACTAAAAGATAACTAGTGTTTTGGTCGAATTAATAAAATGATTTTTTTTTCTACCTCGTAATTTTTGGGACGTTACAGTTTCTTGACTTCTTCACTCTAGAGCACAAACATCACCAAAAGAGCACCAAAATTGGGTTTAGGAGAGAGATGGATTTCACAACACTAAAAAGGGGGCTATGGTTTCTCTTAAGGGAGGTTCTGGAGGTTCTGGAGGCTACAATAACGAATCTTAGGGTTTAGAGCTACTTAAATATGCACATTTACCGATAAAAGGCCATTAGCCCAATGGTAGACACTGCACCGCACCGCCAAGTGAAACACTAGAATCTCATATTCAAACAGTTGTGATAAATTAAATTAATCCAGATCCGACCCATCCTTCTACTTTAATTTGAACTTAAATTCCCAATAAATTAATGAAAACATCATCGGAAATGGGTCATTACATTTAAGAATCTAAAATGTAGTATGTATATATTCAACATACATAATACAATGTCAACATACATGATACAATTGCAAACATATGAATTATTGTTGCAAACTCATGCATGATTATTGTTGCAAACTCATGCATGATTGCAACATATAATACTCTTGCAACATACATGACTGATAATTGTAAAAAAAACATGAGAAATTTTAAAAGATGAAATTAATGATGACGATTAATATAAAATTATAAAAAAAAAATCGAAACGTTTAATCTAAATTTGAAATGTTGAATATAAATTCAAAAATATTGAATCTAGAGTGTTTATTTTTTAAATTATAAACCTCATAAATATATTTTAAATGATAAAATCTGATTAATAAATTTGTTTTCATAACTATAAATATATTAAGGTATTTTTTTAATTAGAATCACTAAAATACTTATTTGCCCTTTCAAAAATGATTGGTCATAATTCATTCTCATATTTACACAATAATTGTGTTTCTTATTTGAACCCAATCATATATATATATATATATATATATATATATATATATATATATATATATATATATATATATATATATATATATATATATATATATATATATATATATATATATATATATATTTGAAATCCTTAAAAAAACGAAAACCATAAATATATTTGTATATATTAAAATAACGATTATCATAGTTTAAAAAAAATATGTATGTTTGAAAAGACATGTATTAAAGTCTTCAAACTAATGATTTTCTCAATATACCCTTAAAAAACAAAAAATATAAATGTATTGTATATATTAAAATAATAATTATCATAGTTTAAGAAAATATATATGCATGTTTGAAAACACATGGGTATTAACCTCTTTCAAGCCACTGACTTTCTCAATAATTGGTATACTTGATAATCATATAGATATTCTTTTTATTCAATTTTAATCCAATTTACCAACAAGGATGATCGGTTTATTACAAGAAGACCAAAACCAATAATTTCAACATAGCGGCTGTTATTTAAGACTTATGCTATGCAGCTTATTCTAAGATGGCATGGAAAATTGGAAATCATGTAATTGATACGACATTACAAAACTGTAATGGATAACTTTTGTGTTCGGATATGTTACTAAAGCCTTATAATTAAATACGTAATGACTCAAACCATTGATTGTCTTTTATGTATGGACGTATTTTGTTTTCTTCTTTATTTATCCTCCATGATTTTATTCTTGTTGTTTAATGATTGATTGGAGACAAGATGATGATCGCTTGATTGAGGTTGAAAGCAGTGCCAAATTTTCTATAGCTGAGTATTTATAATTTATCCTATCTTTCCTAGTTATATATAAAGAAGTTTTGTTTCGCAAGCATGCTTGTATGTAATTAAACTTCCTTTAGTGAGTTACTTATGGATAATCCTTTTCAGATCTCTTTTTATCTTATGAGAAATAAAGGGATCATTTCAAATATGTTATTGATACAAAAACATATTAAGAAATTTTGATCTCACGTGGCATATCAAATAAAAATATGTAAAGATGGTAAATGATTAGAGCGTACAATTATACAAAATTAAGCGATATCCGCATACTCAAGATTGGCATTACTTATTGTTTGTCTAACACTATAAAATAATGATATCAACCTTCTTAGATATGTATGTCAACTGGCTTCATAGTGCTATATATGGGCTCATCAAACAAATAAAACTAGCTCTTGACAAGTTGTGTCTAACATGTTAAAGTCCCTTCTAAGCTCTCCATCGGCGAAGTCAAACACCAACCACTAGACTACCAAGATTATCGTTCTAGGCAGGCTCCATTTGGTCCAAATGGTAAAGCCCAATCCGGTAGCATTATCTTCTATCTTCTTACGGTCATGACATACGAAACATGACACTCTCCCACCGTCCGAATGTTGTACTTCCTCATGTAGTAGATGAGAACTAATTGCCATTTTCTATATACAATTATTGAGTGAGGATCTCTAATTATGCATAAATGATTGAGTAAATTACTGAAATCGTCCCTATGGTTTGATCAAAATTGCACGTTTGGTCTCTAACTTTTTTTTTTTTTTTGCATTCGGATCGTCTCTGTGGTTTGATTTTGTTACGTTTTTCGTCCCCTATATACATAAATTTAGGGACCAAACGTGCAATTTTGACCAAACCATAGGGACGAAAAACACAACAAAATCAAACCAAATAGACGATCCAAGTGCAAAAAAAAAGTTAGAGACCAAATATGTAATTTTGACTAAACCATAGGGATAATTTCAGTAATTTACTCAATGATATATAAAACAGAATTTTGTCATTGTATACAGTTATTAGCATTGACATACAAAACCTTTTACAAACAGATTGACATACAAAACCTTTTACAAACAGAATTGTCAATTTCTATGTCCAATTATTTAATAAGTATTTCTATAAAGGATCACTAATTATGCGTAAATGATATATAAAATTTTAAAATAAAAAACATTATTTTAAACCAAATTCAGGTTAACTCAATTGCATGTATCAAAGTATTTACTATTTAGGGCATGTACAATGCATTAAACTCTATAGAGTTCAATCGAGTATCACATCATCATTCACTATTCCATTAAATTCTATTAATTTTTATCTCACAATGCATTAAATTCTATAAGTTCAATGAAATATAGTAAAAAATATTTATTTAACGATTTAAAAACTTTCTTTTTTCCTTTTTTTTTCTCATTGAAGAGTTCAATGACCATTAAACTTTAAATACATTGTATGTTAATGTGATATTCACAATAGTGGAGTTGTATCTATTGAATGACAAGTAAGCATGACACCTCATTCAACTCTTCCATTAAATTCTCGATTGTGGATGCTCTTAGAAGTATTTTACTAAAATAACCATATTTGACTGTTCAATGCACCCGTACACAAGATTTATAGATCACGAATTTGTGATAAATATTAGGTTCGCTAATTTTTAAAAAGTTTGCAAGTTCAATATTTATTATTCGCAAGTTGGAAAATATTTCAAATTTGGCCAAGACAAAAAATTGTGAAAATAAAAACCTGTCGACTTATGCACATTCAAGTGGTGTAAAAGGATCCAAGTGGCAAAGGAAAGAGTCAGCTGTAGGTGCCATGTTTTGAGCCATAGACACTATACATAGTTTCTACAACTAGGGGGATGGTGGCACCACTACTCTTTGCCCTTGCGAAACCATCAAAAAAGTACAGTTTTTTTTTTTTTTTTCTTTTCTTTCTTTCCACTAAGCACCCCACTTTTTACACTTTATTTTTTCTTCTTCAATGAATGGAGCGTCAAATCTTTCACGCCACATGCACTACTTCTATAGACTGGAGTGCTTATAGACTTTTAACAAAGAGAAACCACTATCAAAAAAAATTCAAAGCCACAACCATGAGTGAAATACATCCCATGCTCATATATTACACAAAACATATTTTTAAAACACCCATCTCAATAATAAATATGTCTTTATCTATTGAGATGTTAACAATTAAGATAACGCGTCGGTGGCCAATTTCGAAGCAAACACCTAAACTAAAAACCCGTTTCAGGTTCACTACAAAGCACAACCGGACATAAATCTAGAAATCCAATTCCAATTTGTTTCATCTTAGCATCATTATCTAGAAGTGTTAGCCTTAGTAAGTAATCTCAGCTTCAAAACGACGCCAAAATCACATATATATAATTAGATTTTTTTTTTTTAAGCAAACAGTAGGATATATATATATATATATATATATATATATATATATATATATATATATATATATATATATATATATATTTGGTTATTTGATTAATGATAGTATTCAGCCAGCAGCAACAGCATCAGCCCGTGGGCTAGCATCCAGGAGTTGACGCAGCTTTGCAGTAGCATTAGAGTTTTGGTTATTGTTGTTACTACTTTTGTACACCATTTCTTCTTCTTCAACATCATTTCCACTTCCACCTTCCTCAGAAGTACAACTGTCGACCCTAGACAGGAGGTTAGCCGTGCTCAGGGACACACTCGTATCTTCTGTGTCATTTTCTTCTTGCACGTTCTTGAGTTTTTCCTGTAGTTATAGTCGACCACAAAGAACAATAATAATAATGTCATTTTAACAAGTACTATATAATTAATAATGAGATTTGGATTCCGTGTGTGTCTTACGGTTAGTTTGGCGTTTTGAAGCTTGAGTTTCTCTGAGTTGTCAGTGAGTCGGTTAATCTCGGACTTAAGGGTCAGATTTTCACTAGTCAGTGCATCAACTTTTATCGCCAATTCTTCAGCTTCAGCCTGAAACAGATATTTGCATTTTGTTTTGTCAGATCCAAGCTACAAAATTGTAGCAAATATTTTGGAACATAAGAGACTTAAAACATCGTTCGTTGTTTTATTTGAATTTATATAATGATGGACAGAATGACTTGATGGGTTGAGCCAAAAAAAAAAAAAAAAATTGAAACGTGATTAATAATGTATCTATCTAGATTTAAGACGCCAACCCAACCAGTCCTATACATATTTATATTTATATTTATATTTATAGAGACAAACATCATTACCCATTATATTCAGACATGAAAGAAATGATGAGACACGTAGGCATAGTACGTTTACCTGTTTCCTTAATCTAGATCTCCTGGCAGATTCGCGATTAGACTGCTTTCTCCTTTCCCTTTTCAGTTCTCGCTCATTCTGTCATTATTTAAATGAGGGAAATTAATTAATATTCAGAAAAGAAGGTTCCAAAAGGTTGAGTCTACCAAATTCAACTTGCGATTAAATATAGAATTAAAATGGACCTGCTGTTGAGCTTGGTTGGGCATCATGGCAACAGTTGCTGATGTCATCAAGGTAACTGCAGTGGGAGATTTCTTAATTTCTGAATCAGAGGTAACAACAGTAAGAGCAGTCACTCCATTTGGTTCTTTATGAAAAAAATGACCGCTTATCTTTCCAGCTTCAGCTGCTGCTGCTGCATTTAGTTCATAAACTTTAACCAACAATACATTTTACATTTTACAATTTTCAATTTTCAATTTTCAGTTAAAAAAAAAAAAAAAATAGGAAATTACGAGACACTTCACGGCTCCTTTTCCTACTAGCGGTGTTGCCATCACTTCCTTCACTAGAAGCTTGGGTTTCCCCACTGTTGAAAATTACTTGTAAGATTAAAGATTTAATTTATTTGTAATGGGAAATGAATCAAAGATTAGCAGTAACCTGTGAGAAATCCCATTGCCTATCGACATTGCCAGCCCATCAAATCCTTTTAACTTCTTCATCAAGCCACGCTCAGAGTTCCCTGATGACTTGGCAGGAGAATCAATGCTCATTGGACTTGCCTGAAACCACATTAATTTCTCATAATCTATAAATAGTAAGCGGTTATTATGCTAACAAGTAAAAAGACTCACAAGAGGAACTCCAGGATGTGGATAATGTGGATACATTGCAGCATAAGGTGGCATCATATGCTGAAATTGCAAGTATATACAGATTAATTAAGGTCAACAAAAATGAATTAAGGTTTAAATTTAATTACCTGTGGTGGGGCCCACATATAAGGCGGAGGAGGATGTCCCGAGTTGAAGTACGGTGGTACAGCCATGCTATGCCCATAATAAGCCTACATATATATATGCCAAAAAAAAAAGTCAAACTTTGGTCAACCACTCTAAGTTGTGAGAAACAAAACACTTTTTTTTTTTTTTTTTTGAATAATAAATAAATAATCAACAAAACCTGCATAGCTGCCCAATCGGGATATGCATGAACACTCGTCTGCTGATGCTCCTGCAAGCATTAGTAACAATCAATAACAAGCATGGATTCATGATTTATCTGTGAAGCTTGGTTTTAATTTGTAGACTTTTTAATTAATTAAGAGGCAGCAGCATCGTTAAATATGAAAACGAATTTGGAGGTTACTTACGGGTGGTGAAGATGGTTTTTCTGGCTTACAAGCCTTTGTCTCTTCACAGTTGCCCATGGCCAAACACTAGAAACAATACTCACCTGCAAATTGCAATGTAGGATAAAAATGTCAAGATAAAACAAAAATAAGGTCTTAAGATGAAGACTACAAAGATCTTGAATACATGGCAAACCATTTAAAAGTATATCATCATCCAACAATCAAATGAGATAAAACTAAACACCATCAATAGAGCACGCCAACATCAAATACAGGAAACAATAACTAATTAGTTTTTTTGTTCAAAATCATCCTTTATCAAAATTTATAATTTCAAAGGGAAATTAATTTGGCCATAATCTCTCTGATTAGCTTATTCATAATATATATATATATATATATATATATATATATATATATATATATATATATATATATATATATATATATATATATATATATATATATGTCTTTTATATTGTTTGAAATAATTTTTAACCAAACAAGTAAAAGTCTTGGTATTGGGATCTATATGTTGATCCATGACAACAGGGACAATAAATTCAAAAGAAAAGAAAAAAGGTACGGCGTAATTTTGTCCTTTCCATGATCCACATCAAACAAGGAGAAAGTAAAACAGCACCCACAAAAGTCCAAGACTATTACCAATCCAAGATAACCTACTACCAAATTTACAAAACTATCCTCACATTCATCCCAATAATTACATCACCAAAATCATTCCTGGAATATTAATTAATTCTACAAATTTAATAATTTTATTTGTCAATACCTCGTAACACTTCTCAATTGAAATTAAAACTCTACGTACGTACCAGTCTACCAGAAAGCAAATTCCACTATATGAACACAATGCTTTCAATCATATGAAAAATTTTCCCCTATTTTTCCAGTTTTGATCGGTTTATTATTCCCAATTCTCAGTTCTCATCTCCTCTCTCTCCCTTTCTCTACAAACACACACAATCATGCGTATTTTGATCAAAAAATTACTACAGGTATTCATAGACAATATCAGTCAGAGCTGAATCAACATATAATAAACAAAAAGAACAATAAATGCACGAACCTCTACTGCAATCTATAGAAAAAACACATAAAATTGTCAACTAAAACGATTCGAATTTCGAATTTCACACGCGAATTGTGTAGTATCGAACAGTTGAGAAAAAAATTAAACAAAATAAACAGTACCTGAGTAAGAAGAAATTTCAGAACTGCATTTTCTCTCTCTAAACTTTCTCTCTCTAAAGCGAGGGAGGGGGAGGGGAGGGAAGAAGTGTGGGCTTTTTGCAGCTTGTAGAGAGAGGAGAGAGAGAGAGTGCCAAGGCAACACTCCACGTCACGAGACACGTGTTCGTGCGTTAAGTATTACCATCTCTATATCACAGAAATTATTATATAAGTAGAGGTATCGACTTATCGTATATCAAAATCAGTTCCATACAATGTCGTAACTTTTATTAGATTCACTATCAATCAGTAAAAAAAGTGATATAGATGATATTTTTTTACTATATTCACCTTGTAAATTAATTTTATTCAAAAGTAAGTATATCAACGTGCGTCAGGAATTACTTGAAGTGTTTATTAATTTATTATTATATATATATATATATATATATATATATATATATATATATATATATATATATATATATATATATATATATATATATATATATTGAACGGTAATGTTAATATTTGCTTGGGATTGAACCCAAAACCTCCTAGTTAGACACCTTGTTAGTCAAGTGGGCTAGCCCCAACTTGTTATTATTATATTATTATTATTTGGTATTGTTTATAAGAAGCTTTTAAGATAAATATTGAACGGTGGATGCATTAAAAACACTAGCAAGAGGATATCTTCCGCCGTTTTTAAAGGTTGTCTTTTTTTTGTTGAAAATGTAGGAGATACGGATTTTCAAATCAACCAAATCATAAAGGATCAGTTTTCACGCACCGACTCATCTCTCGCTGCGAACATGATGCTATGCCTCATGCCCTAGAATCATTGCAGACGAACCTCTATGACCACAAGAGCTAAGTAATGTCAGGATTTCAACATGGATCAATAGGTTATACACCATACATTTCACATGTCTAACCAAGTCCCCCCAACCCAAATGATTTAATTCTTCTATTTACCTTAGATTGAATCTTTCAAAGAATTACTAATTTCCATCACATCTCTCCGAATCACAAACACCATACCGCTCCAATCTTGAAACCACCTCCAAATATGAATCAAGATACCGCATAAGGAAAAAAAAATGATCTGTATCCTCATCTTCTGAATTGCAAAGAGGACAAACCAAGGAAGAAATGTTAAAAGCCATGACAACAAGATTGAGAGCCACTGTAATTTGATTACATAAAACATGCCAATCGAAACAGTTTATTTTGAGAGGCACCCAATTAACTAATTTGAAATCTTTAAAAATATTATCAACATTAAACTTATCCACCATCAAAGTCCTCAAAGAAATGACTGAGAATAGCCTCGAGGCTTCCGTCATCCACGATCAAGTATCTGAATCTGGCGATAACGAAATTCCCTCCATAGCAGCGACCAAATTGACTAGCTTATTAGTCCCTTTTCCTCTTCTCAGTTGTGTTTTCCAGGCCCAATGGAAATAATCACCATTACCTCAATTTAACCTATCCGAGACCATACATATTTTCTTTTCTTCTAACTTGTATAGCCCTAGGAACAAGTCTTTGAAAGTATCCAACCTATTCCACTTGTCCTTCCATGAATATGTGTGATTTCTATCCCCTAATTTCCTGCAAAAGACATCAACAATAGAGATATCCTACTCTTCAAGCTCCCATTTAATTTTATAAACGTAGAGCCAAGTCCCTGGTATCACATGCTTCGCCAAATGTTTTCCATCAATACAATTAATCTTACGCAATGCTTTAATACAAGATGACCAACCAGAGTTAGTTTCACTTTTAATCTTCACCACCATATAGCAAGGAGCTTAACGTTCAAAGATCTAAGGCACCCAACACCAAGGGCTTATTTTTTGAATATGAAGTTTTCATAAGTACTTATTGGCTTAAATAAAGAGTTTTTATTATTAAGTTATTCTATCCTTACTTATTGACTTATTTGAGAAGTTTTTGATATCTTATTTTCTAATTACACATATAAGCACCATTTCCCAAATATTAAAAACTGAATTATGAACTTTTTACATTTTGGTACTAGATAAGCTAAGCCATACATTTTTCTAAAAACTCTGTTTTGACACCGGATAAGTTAATAAACGCTTTTACTAAAAAAAAACATATGTTGTTTTAAATAAGCAATCTAAAACATGTGACATCCCTAATTTCACGGCCAGAAAAGACCGATTTGTTTATGCTTTATTTAAAATCAGAGTATCATTTTTAACAAAAATATTGCGGAATTTGTTCCCAAAATATGATAAGTATATTATCAAATCATTTATGAAGAAATGTATTTTAATTATATTAAAAACGTCGGGATGTCATCGTCAATACATTGCATAAGTATAAACGGGAAATAACATAGGCCTTACAATATTTATTATTCTAACGATGTATAATCCACAGATCTCTCATCCGATCATCACACTGTGCTCTTATGCCACTACCTGCAATACAAGAAACTAAGTGGTCATGCTTAGGAGCCTGGTGATCACATAGGTTTTCAATCCATAATAATTAAGTTCTTTAATTTCATCAAATCATTCAACTTGATTATCCGTTCCCGTTATCCTCACTTTCTATCCCTAGAGTATCTAATTTAAGGGACCTATCCTAAGGATCATCATCGGGAAGACAATATTGCTTAGGGGATTCCTCAGCAATACATGTCAGTAAGACAACCATGAGGAGGATGGAGTACACCTAGTGAACACGTAGTTCAAAAACACCTACAGGTTGTGAGCCTACCAGCGTTCTACTGGACTGTCTAGAATAGTCTGTGGTCGTCATCTCTACTCTACAGGATGACTGGATCAGCTTAAACATTGAGGCCTCTCATCATTTATTTCATCTTTCATCATATATACAATTTACCCATCTTTACCCAACATAATTATAGGTATAAAATACATATACAGTTTAAATCAAGTAAAACATGTATAAATCGTTCATCTAGCACAAATATCAGGAACACATATAAGAGGCACATGTAGCAAGTAATTTATATTAAATACTTCATATCTATGTGTAAGATGATATGTTCATAGATAATAGGCACATGTAGCGAGTAATCATTCATCTAGCACACGATCCCCTAGAGTTTTCCGCATTAACAACTAATGATATTACTCTAATGTTTAAATGATATGCTGACTTTGATCGATTTTGGAACAACTCGTTTGTATGATTTATTGTTTTAAAAATGAAAAAAATTACCTTGGGTTTTTGGGACGTTACAAGTTGGTATCAGAGCCTTGGTTTGAGGGATTCGAACACACTCTTGGGTATGTGTAAACTTAAACGGAGGAATTGGTAATATTTTGAAGGGAAATAAGTTTCTAATAAATTTTTTGTAAAGAAAATAAGTTTTTGAAAAGATTTTTATAAAAAAGGGGTTTGATGTGTGCAATCAGCCGAGCTCGAGTAAGTAATTCCCAGAATACCCATACATGTTGATATGATATATGATATGAATGTTCACATGCTAGGATAAGGCTAGGGATACTTTCAAGAATTGCATGATAAATCGGCCTAATATGCGATGCCTTGAAGCATAGGAAGCATTGGATGCTATGATTAGGAATATGTATTGGTAATAGTAATTGCTACGTGTATGCTTTAAAAGTTGTATATGGATATGATCATATAGCCCTAGAATGATTGATTTAGCCTTATTTCATGTTCCTTGTCTGGTTGCGGTCCTAGGTAGAATCTTTTATTTGATATTCTATTTGATCCTGGATTATGTATACTTTGTATGCATAAGGCAACCGGAAGTGAGATTAGACGTTCCTAGCATTGTAGTAGCAAGTGAGTGTGGGATGCCCTTTGTTTGTTTTATGGCTTGGAGTGTTACTGCACGAATGTTGTTTGCTTTGTGCTTTGTGGAACTCTTAGTGATGTGAGTTAACTATTAAGTGAATATGTTAAGCTACATGTTGTAAAGGTTAAATAATATCAGAGTGATGGATTTGAATCTATTGTGCAGCTCTTGTCTGAGTCCAACCATTGTAGGGTTGAGTCTTTTACTCGAAGGATTATCTAAGCTCTGTTGCTTGTGATTGTATTCATGAAGTGGTTAACTGACATTATTGGGTGCTTTTCAGCAGCTGATGGCAGGGTGAGGTTGGGAACCTAGGAGAGCCTAGGAAGTGCTTTAGCGGGTTGGGTTGCGTTGTTTAGCAGGTACTTGGAGTAACGATTTGAGAAGGTGACTTGGAGGATTCGAGATAACTCTTGAGGAAAGTATGGGTAGGTGTGGAAGGTAGTATTGGGCCCGTACTACTAAAAGCACAGGATCGATACTTGAATTGTAACACCCCTAATTTAGCAACACCAAGAAAGGAAAGGAAACCCTAAGTCAAAGGGGTCAACTCGTCGATTCCATGGAGGAACTCGACGAGTCGAAGCGGGATCCATGTCTTATTTTAAGTGACCGACTCGGCGAGTCGGGGGAATAACTCGGCGAGTCAGGTCTGGGTAGGGAAACCCTAATTTTAGGACCCAACACCCTATTTAAAGAACATTTTAGGCCTCCAACCGAGCCTCCATCACTCTCCTCACCTACGCTCGAAATCCTAAGCCTCCATTGAAGTGCTCTTAAGTTTTCCTTGCCATTTTGGGTGATTTGAATCTAGAAGGAAGAAAGGAACCTTTGGTGATTCAAGAAGAGGTAGTAGATACGGAGTTGGTGTGAGATTTAAGATCATTTGAAGGTATGAAGCTTATACCTTGGCTATTGTTCATCTAGATCCCTTTCTTAGCTTTGATTTTGTCCCTTTTGTGCCATTTCCATGGCTAATCCGAGTTATAAGCCCTTGAGGATGTATTAGACTTCAGATCTGATCACTTCTGAGCCTTATGGGCTATGAGTGAGAAGCTTTATTCAGCTATGGCTTCATTTTATGATTTGGACTTCCATTCTAGTTGGGATTTGGTGGTCTAGCTTCATAACCCTTTGCATGCACGTAAAGTTAGCAACTTTACGTGTAATGCTAGCCCTAGGAGTCCAGATCTACAACTGGGAAGCAATTGACTGGGCTGTAATCGAAAAATTAAAGATGTTGAGGGTGGACTCAGCGAGTCTGTTATTGGACTCGTTGATTCGGGTCGAAACCCTAATCCCTGTTGGTTCCGAGTCAGATCGGTGAGTTGAGTGGTGACTCAGTGAGTTGGACAGGACAGAACTCGGAGATTGGAAGACTCGGCGAGTCGTGAG